CACACCTCAATCACCAAGCACACCAGGATCACCAAGCACTCCTGGATCACCAAGCACACCAACATCTCCAAGCACACCTGGATCACCAAGCACTCCAGGATCACCAAGCACACCAGAATCACCAAGCACACCAGAATCACCAAGCACACCAGGATCACCAAGCACACCAGGATCACCTAGCACACCTGGATCACCAAGCACACCTGGATCACCAAGCACACCAGGTTCACCTAGCACACCTGGATCACCAAGCACACCAGGATCGCCAAGCACACCAGAATCACCTAGTACTCCTGGATCACCAAGCACACCAGGATCACCAAGCACTCCTGGATCACCAAGCACACCAGGATCACCAAGCACTCCTGGATCACCAAGCACACCAGGATCACCAAGCACTCCTGGATCACCAAGCACACCTGGATCACCCAGCACACCAGGATCACCAAGTACTCCTGGATCACCAAGCACACCAGGATCGCCAAGCACTCCTGGATCACCAAGCACACCAGAATCACCAAGCACCCCAGGATCACCAAGCACACCAGGATCACCAAGCACTCCTGGATCTACAAGCACACCTGGATCACCCAGCACACCAGGATCACCAAGTACTCCTGTATCACCAAGCACACCAGGATCACCTAGCACACCTGGATCACCAAGCACACCAGAATCACCAAGCACACCAGAATCACCAAGCACACCAGGATCACCAAGCACACCAGGATCGCCAAGCACACCAGGATCACCTAGTACTCCTGGATCACCAAGCACACCAGCATCTCCAAGCACACCTGGATCACCAAGCACACCTGGATCACCAAGCACACCAGGATCACCAAGCACACCAGGTTCACCTAGCACACCTGGATCACCCAGCACACCAGGATCACCAAGCACACCAGAATCACCAAGCACACCAGGATCACCAAGCACACCTGGTTCACCTAGCACACCTGGATCAACAAGCACACCAGCATCTCCAAGCACACCTGGATCACCCAGCACACCAGGATCACCTAGTACTCCTGGATCACCAAGCACACCAGCATCTCCAAGCACACCTGCATCACCAAGCACTCCAGGATCACCAAGCACTCCTGGATCACCAAGCACTCCTGGAACACCAAGCACACCTCGATCACCAAGCACACCAGAATCACCAAGCACACCAGGATCACCAAGCACACCAGAATCACCGAGCTCACCACAATCACCAAGCACACCAGGATCACCAAGCACACCAGAATCACCAAGCACTCCTGGATCAACAAGCACACCTGATTCACCAAGCACACCAGAATCACCAAGCACACCTGGATCACCCAGCACACCAGGATCACCAAGTACTCCTGGATCACCAAGCACACCAGGATCACCAAGCACTCCTGGATCACCAAGCACACCAGGATCACCAAGCACACCAGAATCACCAAGCACACCAGGATCACCAAGCACACCTGGTTCACCTAGCGAACCTGGATCACCAAGCACTCCAGGATCACCAAGCACACCTGGATCACCAAGCACACCTCAATCACCAAGCACACCAGAATCACCAAGCACAACAGAATCACCAAGCACACCAGGATCACCAAGCACACCAGGATCACCTAGCACACCTGGATCACCAAGCACACCAGGATCACCAAGCACACCAGGATCACCTAGCACACCTGGATCACCAAGCACACCAGCATCTCCAAGCACACCTGGATCACCCAGCACACCAGGATCACCAAGTACTCCTGGATCACCAAGCACACCAGGATCACCAAGCACACCAGAATCACCAAGCACACCAGGATCACCAAGCACACCAGAATCACCAAGCACACCTGGATCACCAAGCACACCTGGATCACCAAGCACACCTGGATCACCAAGCATACCAACATCTCCAAGCACACCTGGATCAACCAGCACACCAGGATCACCAAGTACTCCTGGATCACCAAGCACACCAGGATCGCCAAGCACTCCTGGATCACCAAGCACACCAGAATCACCAAGCACCCCAGGATCACCAAGCACACCAGGATCACCAAGCACACCTGGATCACCAAGCACACCTGGATCACCAAGCACACCAACATCTCCAAGCACACCTGGATCACCAAGCACTCCAGGATCACCAAGCACACCAGAATCACCAAGCACACCAGAATCACCAAGCACACCAGGATCACCAAGCACACCAGGTTCACCTAGCACACCTGGATCACCAAGCACACCAGGATCACCAAGCACACCAGGATCACCAAGCACACCAGGATCACCAAGCACACCAGGATCACCAAGCACACCAGCATCTCCAAGCACACCTGGATCACCCAGCACACCAGGATCACCAAGTTCTCCTGGATCACCAAGCACACCAGGATCACCAAGCACACCAGAATCACCAAGCACACCAGGATCACCAAGCACACCAGAATCACCAAGCACACCAGGATCACCCAGCACACCAGGATCACCAAGTACTCCTGGATCACCAAGCACACCAGGATCACCAAGCACTCCTGGATCACCCAGCACACCAGGATCATCAAGTACTCCTGGATCACCAAGCACACCAGGATCACCAAGCACACCAGGATCACCAAGCACACCTGGTTCAGCTAGCACACCTGGATCACCAAGCACTCCAGAATCGCCAAGCACACCAGGATCACCAAGCACACCTGGATCACCAAGCACACCAGGATCACCAAGCACACCAGGATCACCAAGCACACCAGGATCACCTAGTACTCCTGGATCACCAAGCACACCAGCATCTCCAAGCACACCTGGATCACCAAGCACACCTGGATCACCAAGCACACCTCAATCACCAAGCACACCAGGATCACCAAGCACTCCTGGATCACCAAGCACACCAACATCTCCAAGCACACCTGGATCACCAAGCACTCCAGGATCACCAAGCACACCTGGATCACCAAGCACACCAGGTTCACCTAGCACACCTGGATCACCAAGCACACCTGGATCACCAAGCACACCAGGTTCACCTAGCACACCTGGATCACCAAGCACACCAGGATCGCCAAGCACACCTGGATCACCCAGCACACCAGGATCACCAAGCACACCAGAATCACCAAGCACACCAGGATCACCAAGCACACCTGGTTCACCTAGCACACCTGGATCACCAAGCACACCAGGATCACCAAGCACACCAGCATCTCCAAGCACACCTGGATCACCAAGCACTCCAGGATCACCTAGTACTCCTGGATCACCAAGCACACCAGAATCACCAAGCACACCTGGATCACCAAGCACACCAGGATCACCAAGCACTCATGGATCACCAAGCACTCCTGGATCACCAAGCACACCTCGATCACCAAGCACACCAGAATCACCAAGCACACCAGGATCACCAAGCACACCTGAATCTCCAAGCACACCTAGATCTCCAAGCACACCAGGATCGCCAAGCACACCAGGATCACCTAGTACTCCTGGATCACCAAGCACACCAGCATCTCCAAGCACACCTGGATCACCAAGCACACCTGGATCACCAAGCACACCAGAATCACCAAGCACACCAGGATCACCAAGCACACCAGAATCACCGAGCTCACCACAATCACCAAGCACACCAGGATCACCAAGCACACCAGGATCACCAAGCACTCCTGGATCAACAAGCACACCTGATTCACCAAGCACACCAGAATCACCAAGCACTCCTGGATCACCAAGCACACCAGCATCTCCAAGCACACCTGGATCACCCAGCACACCAGGATCACCAAGTACTCCTGGATCACCAAGCACACCAGGATCACCAAGCACTCCTGGATCACCAAGCACACCAGGATCACCAAGCACACCAGAATCACCAAGCACACCAGGATCACCAAGCACACCTGGTTCACCTAGCACACCTGGATCACCAAGCACTCCAGGATCACCAAGCACACCTGGATCACCAAGCACACCTCAATCACCAAGCACACCAGAATCACCAAGCACACCAGAATCACCAAGCACACCAGGATCACCAAGCACACCAGGATCACCTAGCACACCTGGATCACCAAGCACACCAGGATCACCAAGCACACCAGGATCACCTAGCACACCTGGATCACCAAGCACACCAGCATCTCCAAGCACTCCTGGATCACCCAGCACACCAGGATCACCAAGTACTCCTGGATCACCAAGCACACCAGGATCACCAAGCACACCAGAATCACCAAGCACACCAGGATCACCAAGCACACCAGAATCACCAAGCACACCTGGATCACCAAGCACACCTGGATCACCAAGCACACCTGGATCACCAAGCATACCAACATCTCCAAGCACACCTGGATCAACCAGCACACCAGGATCACCAAGTACTCCTGGATCACCAAGCACACCAGGATCACCAAGCACACCAGAATCACCAAGCACACCAGGATCACCAAGCACACCTGGTTCAGCTAGCACACCTGGATCACCAAGCACTCCAGAATCGCCAAGCACACCAGGATCACCAAGCACACCAGGATCACCAAGCACACCAGGATCACCAAGCACACCTGGTTCAGCTAGCACACCTGGATCACCAAGCACTCCAGAATCGCCAAGCACACCAGGATCACCAAGCACACCAGGATCACCAAGCACACCAGGATCACCAAGCACACCAGGATCACCTAGTACTCCTGGATCACCAAGCACACCAGCATCTCCAAGCACACCTGGATCACCAAGCACACCTGGATCACCAAGCACACCTCAATCACCAAGCACACCAGGATCACCAAGCACTCCTGGATCACCAAGCACACCAACATCTCCAAGCACACCTGGATCACCAAGCACTCCAGGATCACCAAGCACACCTGGATCACCAAGCACACCAGGTTCACCTAGCACACCTGGATCACCAAGCACACCTGGATCACCAAGCACACCAGGTTCACCTAGCACACCTGGATCACCAAGCACACCAGGATCGCCAAGCACACCTGGATCACCCAGCACACCAGGATCACCAAGCACACCAGAATCACCAAGCACACCAGGATCACCAAGCACACCTGGTTCACCTAGCACACCTGGATCACCAAGCACACCAGGATCACCAAGCACACCAGCATCTCCAAGCACACCTGGATCACCAAGCACACCAGGATCACCAAGCACTCATGGATCACCAAGCACTCCTGGATCACCAAGCACACCTCGATCACCAAGCACACCAGAATCACCAAGCACACCAGGATCACCAAGCACACCTGAATCTCCAAGCACACCTAGATCTCCAAGCACACCAGGATCACCAAGCACACCAGGATCACCAAGCACTCCTGGATCAACAAGCACACCTGGATCACCAAGCACACCAGAATCACCAAGCACTCCTGGATCACCAAGCACACCAGCATCTCCAAGCACACCTGGATCACCCAGCACACCAGGATCACCAAGCACACCAGAATCACCAAGCACACCAGGATCACCAAGCACACCACAATCACCGAGCACACCACAATCACCAAGCACACCAGGATCACTAAGCACACCTGAATCTCCAAGCACACCTAGATCTCCAAGCACACCAGGATCACCAAGCACACCAGGATCACCAAGCACTCCTGGATCAACAAGCACACCTGGATCACCAAGCACACCAGAATCACCAAGCACTCCTGGATCACCAAGCACACCAGCATCTCCAAGCACACCTGGATCACCCAGCACACCAGGATCACCTAGTACTCCTGGATCACCAAGCACACCAGGATCACCAAGCACTCCTGGATCACCAAGCACACCCGGATCACCAAGCACACCAGAATCACCAAGCACACCAGGATCACCAAGCACACCTGGTTCACCTAGCACACCTGGATCACCAAGCACTCCAGGATCACCAAGCACACCTGGATCACCAAGCACACCTGGATCACCAAGCACACCTGGATCACCAAGCACTCCTCAATCACCAAGCACACCAGGATCACCAAGCACACCTGGATCACCAAGCACACCAGCATCTCCAAGCACACCTGGATCGCCAAGCACACCAGAATCACCTAGTACTCCTGGATCACCAAGCACTCCTGGATCACCAAGCACACCAGGATCACCAAGCACACCAGAATCACCAAGCACACCAGGATCACCAAGCACACCTGGTTCACCTAGCACACCAGGTTCACCTAGCACACCTGGATCACCAAGCACACCAGGATCACCAAGCACACCAGGATCAGCAAGTACTCCTGGATCACCAAGCATACCAGGATCACCAAGCACACCAGAATCACCAAGCACACCAGGACCACCAAGCACACCAGAATCACCAAGCACACCAGGATCACCCAGCACACCAGGATCACCAAGCACACCAGGATCACCAAGCACACCAGGTTCACCTAGCACACCTGGATCACCAAGCACACCAGGATCACCAAGCACACCAGGATCACCAAGCACACCAGGATCACCTAGCACACCTGGATCACCAAGCACACCAGCATCTCCAAGCACACCTGGATCACCCAGCACACCAGGATCACCAAGTACTCCTGGATCACCAAGCACACCAGGATCACCAAGCACACCAGAATCACCAAGCACACCAGGATCACCAAGCACACCAGAATCACCAAGCACCCCGGGATCACCCAGCACTCCAGGATCACCAAGTACTCCTGGATCACCAAGCACACCAGGATCACCAAGCACTCCTGGATCACCAAGCACAGCAGGATCACCAAGC